TGGGGTCAGGGCTGTGTAGCTAGGGTTGCCAACCCTCTAGGATTGCCCTGGAGTCTCTAGGAATTAGATACATCTCCAGAAGACTACTGAGAGTCACTTGAGAGATAAATGATAGGGAATTCATTAAAATAAATATTAAATGTTAAAACCAATTTGTACAGTAGTCCAGTGGGTTTTTAAAATGTAACAGTAATGTGTATTTGCCTTCCTGAGTACAGTACAGTAGATCAGTCATGTCCTTACATCATGTGATAAAACTTCCTGGAATAGAGTCAAACAGAGCTGGCAACCCTATGTGCAGCACGGATCCCTTCTGGTCCTGCAGGGCTGGGGCCAGCAGCGACAGCAGTCAGAAGGAGCCGCCACCACCTGGGCTGCCTAGAAAGGAAGTCCAGCTGTGGAGCTGCCCCAGCCCTGCTGCATGCCCAGGGGGTGGCAGGACATGCCACTGGGGGCTGGTGCAGAGCAGGGTAGGTTGGGGCTTTGCTCAGGTTCCAGCTGATCTGCTCTGGTGGGGATAAGTCCAGAGTGGATGCAGGGCAGAGCTGGGGCTACATGTTGTTGGCAGGAAGGTGCTGCCGAGCACGTGGGCTCTAGGTTGTTGTGGGGTGGGGGCGGGTGCTAACTACCTCAAGGAGGGTTTGTGCAGGGGGTCCCATGCACACCCCACCATACCCACAAAGCCTCCCAGCAAACCCCACAACTACACCTTCCCTCACACAATCACACACCCCACAAACACCATATCCACCCCACCCCCTCCCCCACACACACCCATGTGCTTCTGGGGGGGAGCCCTGCTCACTGCTAAACACCCTCCCCACTATACGCACACCCCATACTCACCTCCCATACACTTTCCCAGTGACCCTCCCCACAAACCCCATACCCACCCACACATCCACACAAACATTTCCCCCATAAACCCCCCATAGTCACCCACATCCACACACACCCTCACAATCTCCCCCACACTGCATATCCACACACATCCCCACAGCTCCCCACAAGTGCCATACCCACCCCTCCATACTCCCCTACAATATACAAGAGTAAGACTTCATTTTGAGCTATTAAGCAATCACCTCTATATACACCACACAAACGCACACAAATCAGGACAAAAATATTTTTTAAAATAAAATTAAAATGTGTTATTGTCAATGTTTGATTTTTAGCACATAATTTGTTTTTTTTTCCAGGTACAAGATGACAAACCCCCTTCCCAAAAAAGGAGTATTTGGGGGGGCAAGGAGAAGAACTTCTGGTAGCAAAGGTCAAGGGTTAGGGGGGTTGGACTTCCAGTCCTAAGATGGCGACCAGGGGGCAGGGCACCTGTCAAGGGACAGGGCTACCCATGCAGCCCTCGACAGCTCACCAAAACTCATTAAGCAGCCCTCCACCCAAAATAACTGCCCACCCCAATCAGAGTGCAAATAAAGCATTATGGACAGACAGACAGAAAGACGCATGAAAGTGGGGGAAATTCAAGAATTGCTGCATGAAAGTGGGGGAAATGCAAGAACTGAGGCCCCCGGTTTACAAACATCTCAAGCCTTGTTCCTCCCATACGTATCAGACTGATCACTCCAGACATGAACGATAAACTGCAATGAGCTAGTAGTTCCATCTTCCTAGCAAGCTTTCAAGTACTATTGCTTAATACAACTGTGTATCTCTAGCCTGTAAGGAATGTCCCCTCCCTCACCTTCTCTCCCCAAAAACTATCAGACTTCATGATAATTTGACCCCACAAGATAAAATCCTTCTCCCAAACAGGTGACTAATTAGACCCACAACACTACAAAATGCAGGTCTCCTACAGCTAGCAGGACAGAATGCAGGTCAATTAACAAGAGCCAGAGAAACCTAGGGAAGCCTATGTGGAGAGAGGTGCAAGAATCAATCACCTGGCCCTATCCCTTTGCTCCAGCCAAAAGAAAAGTGGAGGACCTCAGGAAGAAGTAGGCAGTACTGTACTTAGACTCCTGGTGGCCCCGGGCAAACTTTTAGTATCAGGCCCCTGTTCGTCAGTGATAATGATAATAATAATCGGACAATGAAAAAAAAAACAAACCATTTTTGAGACCCCTTTCTGTCCAGGACCCAGGTGACAACCCAATTTGCCTACGCCTGTGTCCGGGTCTGGTGATAGGGACAACCTCTAAGTTTACAATACATACACTTCTGCTTTCCTACTCACTCCCCCTCCTGGACTTCTTTACATTTTCTGACATCTACATAAAATCACCTTTTCTGTTGTACACAGTTGCCAGGATATTATTTTAAACAAACAAAAAAAAGGATTTTTAAATGTCTGGTGTTGGCAATACACCCCTCTGCATTGGGGTGAATTTCACAAAGGAAGAGTATTAGGACATAGATGGAAAAAAAATCTGCTTACCGGCTTTGAGCATCTGCTTTCTCTAGTTTTTCCTGTAGTTGTATCCAGTCAATCAATGCCTTGAAATCTCTTACATAGTTGTCTAGCATCATTAGGACTTCCTGGAAAAGAGCAGTCTACATTAGATATTTATATTTATGACATTAAAGGAAAGAAATAGTATAGGAAGTAGGGAATTCTGCAAAAACCTAATCAAAATCTAAATATTTTACGTTAATAGTTGAAGTGGTAGAATCCACTATAGGAAAGATTGCAATCATTTTCTTTTCTGACCACATTTTAAGTTGATAATAATTTTCTGAAACATATACCTCTGGGGCTGAAACATACCAATCAGTTTCTGATGAAAGTGGAATTCTAGAAAGTGCTTGAGAAAAACAGTGCACACCTTCAGGGTAAAAAGAACATTAAAAAGACTTAACCCATCATAAATAATTCTTGTGACCTTTTTGACAACAACAAAAAAGGCAAAGGATAGAATGCTGACACTTGGCAAGGCAACAGGTCTTACAAAGCATAAATGTCTTTGAATGTCAGTGATTTTTTGTCTTTTTCTGAAACATTAAAAAAATATAAACTAGGTATGTGCCGTACACAGGTTTCTACATAGGCTTTTTTGTTTAACTTATATAAACTGCATAGTGAAGGAAAATAGCACTGCACGTATTTTCATAATTAATTTGGCTGTGGAATAAAGAGTGCAAAAATGTTGGAAGGGCTACTGCACATTTTGTAAGGTGAGAAGGAGGGAGTCTACTCTGAGAAACCATAGAACTTTAGCAGTTGGGGAAGACACAAAGCACTTTACATAGTTCAGTAACTTCTCAAGTACATAACAAAGAATCTTCCTGCACAGCTCTTAAACTGGTGCACAGAACTAGTGCCACATGATATTCTATTCTGCTTTGGTATCAACAAAATTATATTATAATATTATTACAGAATCTTTATTCTGGGAACAGTAATTACTGGGAAACAGAAAAAGGTATCAGCTTGTAAGCTGAATATATGTGGTATGATGTTATTGTGAGACAGGATGTAAGGTTTATATGCACTTTTCTGACAATAACTGCATTTTTTGTAAGCCACTATATTCCAAATTCATGACTTTGGAATCTTCAGGTATTATGTATGCTGTCCTTATATTTTAGCAATTCTTTCATTATTTTGGAAAGATACTGTTGGATGAAATGTTGTTATTCAAGTATTTATTAAGAAATTTCTTAAGTTATTCTAAGTAATCAGACAAACTTGAAGCCAGCCTTACACTGCACATTAGATTTCAGTTTACATAATGACAGTCTTGAGTGATCCTGAACCATCTAATAGAAGTTATAATGTATGTGCTGACCCAGTACAAAAGAATATCATTCCACAGATATGTAGATCTATAATGCTAATTTAATATAAGTTCTCACCTCTAAATATATATATATAAGGATGTTGTAATAATGGCTTAGCAAAACAGCATGAAGGGTCTTTATTCCAACCAGTTGTTTTTTTTTAAAATGATTCATCACCCATTAGTCTTCCAATCTGTTTAGGCTTTGGAAGTGTATTACTTAGGCCAAAGTTGCACTTAAACAGTGAAAAACATTACAACTAAAACAACAATATCCCCTTGCAAGGCCTGATTTTCCTCTTTACTCGGGTAACATTCCTATTCATTTCACTATGATTAATAAAAAAATAGTGCAGGACTGAGCTCCTAGCACTTTCTTTTCCTTTTTTTTCTCCTGAGCTGACAGCTGGCTATACTTATGAAGAAAAACTTGAAGCAAATTATTTCATTCTTTAATTCAGAAAAGTCCATTTCAACCTTGTACAGAGGGGCAACAGATCACTCATACCCCAGGAAACACTCAAAATATGACTTACAACTAGGACAGAAGTAGTGCATAGATCATATACTAGACATATGCTTCCAGATGATTCACTCAAAAGAAAAGGGAGAAAGAATTTAGTGACAAATACTATTAAAAATATTTTTAAATACCAAGATTGTAGATTTGTAGGTCACCTTCTAAAAATATAAAGGCAATTAATGCCACTGTAAAGGAACAAACTCATTCCAAATAATGTCAAAAAAAGAAAATTGCACATTTCTGGTTTGTTAAAATGAGAAAAAAAAAAAAATGAGAAACCTGTCCTACTTTTCAGAAAGAAAACATGATAAAAATAACAACAATAATAATCATTGCACAAATTACATCTGAATTGAATAAAAGCTTGTAATTGCTTTGAATTGTGAGGTTTAATTTTTAACAAAAGTACCAGTAAAATTTGCCCCTTTTATCTCCATTGGCAATTCCTTACATCTTATTCCACACACTTTCATCTTACTGGAAGTTTTGTGTTCAAAACAAATGATGCCTACAAATATTTTTAAGAACAAATACAAGTGGAAATTCATATGCATTTGTTTAAAAAATATTCATTTAATAAAGGAATAGAAGCCTGTGCAACACACATTTTTATGCAAGGATCTAAAACTTCCATTTGAGGATACTCACACAAATATCCTCCTAACTGGAATATACTGCAGAGCTATACACACCACAGCCTTTGCCATATATAATTTCCACATGCATCTGGAAAATTGCATAGTTCCATATAAAATTAAGCAGCACATCATTGATACTTTATACATACACACACACACACACATATACCTCCATTTTGTGTTCCCCACAAAAAACCCTATTTTTGTGAAAAGGCTATTTGTTTGCAGTGCCAAGGTAACTGGCAAGAAAAGTGTGCTACAAGACATGAATCACTTAAGCATTTTAGCCAGCCCTTTTCCTTCAATTTCACTACTAAAATTCCACTTTCTAATTTAATCCATCTCAGTTTTAGTCAGCCATTTTACCTTATGCTGAATGTAATTAACAAGAAGAGACCAGAAAATAAAAAATAAATTATTCTGAATTAAATCTTAAGTCTGTCACTGAGACTTTTCCCTACTGAAAACTAAGTATGAATTATACTTCTGAACCTGGTTGGCACAAAGAAAATACAATAAATGACTTAAACAACCTATTTTAAGGAATGTTTAGCTACGAGTTATCAGAAATGATCAGAGCAGTACCATGCAGTTGTAATCTGAGTCATGTTTTACGAACAAGGGAATACAAACAAGACAAGCAGCTGGAGCGGCCCCTATTCACTGATGCACATCTTTTTCCCTAAAGCTATGAAGGCCATTTTGTCAAGCAGGATGAAGCAGAACAAAAGTGGCTCTGAAAGCGCCGTTACAGGCATCCAGATAACTACATATAGATGTACAGCTAAAATTACCAATTAGTTTACCAATTGGCTGCAACGAATTCGATTGGTTTGTAATTAATTCTGGTTACTGGCGCATACAGCAGGACGGTTGGCGCCATCCCTTTGTCCTACTGACACACAATACTAGTGCTCAGGGCCCTAGGGTCTTGGACATCAATACAGCTCTCTAGTTCACCTACAGTACCGAGTGTAGTAGATATACCCTATGGTGCTGAAGCAGTGGAAACTTGTACCACTTGAGAAGGTGCTGACAAAAAGGAACCTTTATGGGGTAGACTGCTGCTGCACTAGAGTCAAGACAATTTTAAATCCCATTATTTTTCAAGGTCATGTGCATCCCATACCAATTTTTAAAGGGCCAGTGCAAGCTAAAAACAAAAGCCTGAGATTGGAGATAGAATTAAAACCAATGCCTACAGGAAATTTAGTAACCTGCAGCAAGAGTGCTTAAAATATCACGGTATCTTTTATTATACCAAATAAGTGGAATATCAGATTTACCCAAAGAACCTTGTCTGTCCTTAGACGAACACGGCTACAACCTATACCCGTGAAGATCTTCCACCACCATTCTAATGAATGGTCACTTGGGCACACTTTCACTTTCTACTTTAGTGCTTTTCCCTCTCTCTACAATCATGAGCTTAATTTTCAACCATTACTACGCTTGTGTTTTTCCTTGTTTTGTTTTAATTGGTACTTCACACTGTTCTTCTAGTACTCATAGCAAGAGCTTTTCACCACTCCTCCCCATCTATCCTAAACAGCTTAGAGAAGCCTTACAATGAAGAAGGAATCATGAGCCTGTTAGCCTGTAACTTGCATGACCTATATGGCTATGTGCAAAGCACATAATAAGCTTGTTTAGCAATCAGAAAATTGCCTTATGTGACAATACACAGTTAATTCCTTTAGCATATCTCAATGATTATCAGTGCTCTGCAATTAGTAGTTATGAAACTGCTAATACCCTGCTCATTTCAAGGGCCTATTAGAGGTAGACACTGATAGTTACAATGTACCAAGCCTTAATGACATGTGAACAACTGAGCAAGCTGTGAAATCATGATCTGATTTACAATAAACTAGCATTAATGAGGTATAAGCAGCTGAAAGCAGACTGTTCCTACACAAACTAGCAGACAGGCTTAAATCAATTTAAGTGACACCTTTAATACTGACCACCAACAGAATCAGCAAATGGCCATTGTGAACAATTTGAATGGCTGCCTGCCTTAGCTGTGCTCTAAGATACCTACAGCATCATCCTTAAAAACTAACATCAATACTGTATATTTTCTGAAGGGGAAAGAAAAAGAATTTGATTTCAATCAGTGTGTCTACAGTTTGTCCACTGAGAAAGCTATTTAAATTTAGGCAGTGGGCAATACAAGATGCTGCAACACTTAATACATGCTGATCTATAGTCACTAAAACATTGCATCCTATAATTCATTTCACAAAGACATGCAGACATATCTTTTCCAGGCATAGCAAAATCTTAACATCATTGGAGTCAGATCAGATATTAGTAAGATCCCATTATTTTTACAAAACATATTATAGTTTATTGGCTAGCAATCTTTCTTTTGGATTACAGAATACACTTCCCTAGTTACACTGCACAGATCAGGCTTCACAAGTGGGAAGATGATCAGCCAAAAGGATGGCTTCTGTCCAATTCATCATGCCTCCTAAATTATGCACGGATTTCAAGATGTAATTCAATGCCTACCCAAGTCAGAAATAATGTACATCCTTTTCATCAACTGCAATAGGCTAAAGGGATGGAGCAGAGCAATATGGAGCAATG